CACTTGGCCGACCCCGCGGGGTGTGCCGGTTCTGCTCTCGGACGAGGCTCTGGGCGAACCTGGAGACTTGATGAACTTGGACCCCGGCGCCAGATGGGCCTTCCTTCCCCCGGGGGGCCCCCTAGAGTGGCCCGCAGGGTCAGAGGCCGGGTAAGGAGAGCGCTTCCCCGGCTGGCTTCGGCTGGCGCAGCAGGGCCTGTTTTTGTTACTGTTTTTGGCTTTTTCCCCTTCTTTTGTGGCCGTCCTGGGGTTTGAACTCGAGGCGGTCGATTTACCCACTGGAGTCACGCAGCTCCACTTCCGGCTGTTTTGGTGGCTCATTGGAGATGAGAATCTCAGTTGTTTTTCTGCCCGGCTGCTGAGCCCCGGGATCCTCAGCTCTCCCCCTCCGGGTCGGTTAGCTAGGATTACAGGCTTAAAGCTGTGCTAGGCGTCATGAAGAGCGTGAAGTGTACATTCCCCCTGTGGAGGGGCAAAGCATTCTGAAGCCATGGCCCCAGGGCTCAGAGGGGGACAGTTTTTGTCGCTGGGTTCCCAAATTGATGACCAGTTATGGGGTACCTCTAGCAGCAGTCTGCGCTGGTTTCTCAGCGGACATGGGAGGGGAACTGTCCAGTGTCATCCAAGCCTGTACACCCACACCCCACCATCTTTGGTTTTGTTTTTGTCTTGCTTTGATCCACGGCGGGCGGAGTGTGAGGAAGCGGTGAGCTGGGGAGGTAGATTTTGGGGGGCTGTGTGTACTTTCTCATAAAGCGGGCACTGTGCAGAGGCCCCGTTAGGCTCCACAGTGCGTCGGACTCCCCCGTGGTGGAGTGTGATGAGAGGGTCTTCTTTTCACAGGCTATGGGGCATGGAGCGCAGCACCTGCCAACACCCAGGGTAAGTGGATCCTGTGGGGGGGGTGAGGCCCCAGCATGGCACATCCAGCCCCAGTGCCGGCCTCTGCCAAGCGGTCCTTGTTATAAAGCGTCAGATAATAAATGCCCTTTATTTTGCAGGCCATCCAGTCTCCATTGTACAAAAGCAGCCATAAATAATATGGAGAAGTAGGCACAGCTATGCCCAGACTTCAATATGGACACTCGAATTTGAATGTTGTAATTTTTGTGTGTCCTTTAGTATTCTTGGCAGCTGAGGGCATAATTATGGTTTATGCTTTTCTGTAATTGATACACTGTGCTCTTCAGCGCGGCTTTGGCTTTTCAGAAGTCAGCAGGGAGTGCACTGAGTTTCTGGTCGTTTCTTCCGTTAGTAAGAACTGACGAAAGGCTGGGGCAGAGCTGAGGAGTATTGTGTAGGGCTGGGGTATGACTCAGAGCACTGGGCCTGGAGGTCAAACCCCCCAGTACCACAAAACAAAGCAGTGGAGAGATGTGTGCTTAGACGTGCAGCAGGGCCTTGGGGTCGAGGGGACAGCACCTTCAACTCCAGTGCAGTGCAGAGACAGCTGGCATTGCTGTGACAATGTGTTACAGTTAATAAGCTGATACATTACTCAATTACTGCTTCCCCCCCCCCCCCCCCAATCAGTTATGGGGCTTGAACTCTGGGCTGGGGTGCTGTCCCTGTGCTCTTCAGCTCAAGGCTAGCATTCTTACCGCCTGAGCCACAGCACCACTTCCGGTTTTTCTAGTGGTTTATTGGAGATGAGTCTCCTGGAGTTTCCTGCCTGGGCTGGCTTTGAACCATGATCCTCAGACCTCAGCCTTCTGGGTAGCTAGGATTACAGGTGTGAACCACTGGGAGCCTGGCTTTTTTTTTTTTTTTAACTTTCTTGCTAGTGCCAGGGTTCGAACTCCAAAACTAGCCCTCACCAGCTTTGTTTGCTCTGCTAGAACTTTACTACTACTGAGCCATGCTTCTACAGAACTACCTCCTTGTCCAACTCCCCGCCCTCCTCTCCCACTCCTCCCTGCCATCCTTCCTTCCTCTCTCCCACTTCCGTCCCTCCCTTCTTCCCCTTTTCTTACCTCTAGTAATTCTGGAAGTGGAGTTCTGTGGACTTTTTTGCCTGGGCTGGCTTTGAACTTGAATCCTCCAGATCTGACTCCTAAGTTGATAGAATGACAGGCACCAGGATCTTTTTTTTTTTTTTTCTGGTCAGTTGTGGGGCCTGGGCGCTGTCCCTCAGCTCTTCAGCTCAAGGCGAGCACTCTACCACTTGAGCCACCATCACAGTTCTGGTTTTCTGAGTGGTTTATTGGAGATAAGAGTCTCATGGACTTTCCTTCCCTGGGCTGGCTTTAACGGAGATCCATAGATCTCAGCCTCCTGAGTAGCTAGGATTAGAAGTTGTGAGCCACTGGTGCCTGGCTGGGCACCAGGATCTTGACTATAGTCATTTGGGTGTTTGTCAGTTTTTTGTTTTTGTTTTTGCTTTTGTTTTGTATTTTTTGTTTTTTGGTTTTTTTTGGTCAGTTGTGGGGCTTGAACTCTGGGCTTGGGCACTGCCCTTCAGCCCTTCAGTTCAAGGCTAATGCTCTACTGCCTGAGCCACAGGGCCATCAGGGCCACTTCAGGGTTTCTGGTGGTTTATTGGAGATCAGAGTCTCACGGACTTTCCTGCTGGCTTTGAACCTCGATCCTCAGATCTCAGCCTCCTGAGTAGTTAGGATGACAGGTTTGAGCCATCGGTGCCTGGCTTGGTATGTCAGTTTCAGTGACAAATGTCTTGTCAGATTTGAATATGTTGAGATACTCTCTTGGGACTTTTTTTTTCCTGTGTCCATATAGAAAACACATTTTTAGCCTGAGGGATATACAGAAAATAATGGGTTAGAGTTGGCCCAGGGCCTTTACCTCTCCTTTACTCTAGAGGCTGGATCCTAAGTTCAGCTTGTTAGAGGACCAGAATTTGTTCTAGGGTAATGAAGTTTTTTTTTCCTTTTCCACACTTATTGATTGATATTTTGCTTTCTACTAGCCTCTGTGCAAGGGACAAGGGGCTTCCTTTGTTTTCAGTCTGAAGCCTGTCCCTAGCACCACAGGGCCCAGGGTCACTTTTCTGCCCATCGCCCTGTGTCCCTGGAGGCCCCAGCCCACCCATGCCCATCGCCCTGTGTCCCTGGAGGCCCCAGCCCACCCATGCCCATCGCCCTGT